TTTTTTAGACCCCCTTAAGTAAACCAACTTGTCTTTCAAGGGTTATAACTTTCTTCAGTGCAGACCGTTAGGAAAGACGAAAACGCAGTTGTGTAAAAAAAGATTTGGGCTTCCCGAAAAGTACTGAAATGTTATAAGGTTGCCAGACAGAAACGCGTGCCCCGCGTTGCGGATGGGTTGGGGATTCTCGGAATTGGATGCAAAAAGACCAAAACTGTCCTGGTTTGGATGAATAAATCTTCTAAAAACTTAACTATTTGCAAATCTGGACCCGGCGTCGAATACGAGAGGGTCCCTCATTCTCAATGACCACTTCACTTGTTTCTGAGGTTTTCCGGATTCATGAGAAAAATGCGTTGGGGATTTTTGAGGAACCCTCCGAGCAGCACGAAAACGCCGTTTTCTGTGTACCGCTTCAAGTGGGCGTATTCGAATATCCAGAGATGCGTCTAAAATGCATCCCTCCGTGGAATAGGAACAAACAGTAGTTAGTTCAGCGCCCATTGCTTCATTTCTGGATGTGCCATGCTTATGCTCCCACGCAGAGGTAGTTGAGGACGGTGAAGTTCTGGAGCAATGCCTCTCTTACCGCGAGCAGATGTGTTTGCCAGGATATGGGGAGTCAATGGCCAACCTACGCCCTTGCTTACAAATTTGTCCGTTGCGGACGCAATGGAGAACGACAACCGCACGCCATCAGATCCGTGCTCCACCACTTGCTAAGTCTTAAAGGAGACCAACTGCTGGAAAACGTCTGATACGAACGATATGGTAGTCGAGCATGTAGTGTTTAGTTATCCAGGTACATACGAAATGATGCCAACTTATTAATGTTTCCACTTAACTTGAATTAGTTCAGTTAACGAAAGTTTTGTACTGTTTTCTTTAGCACTCCGTTTCTCTAACAAAGCAAGCTTCGCTATACAAGATTAGTGTGCTGACACCTTTGCGCTGTTCGGTAGTGAGTGAAAAACTAATTACGACCCCTCCCCCCCTCTCCCAGCGGCCAAATACGACCCCCCTCACCTGTTGGGATTTCCTTAGCAACGATGGCCCTGATCAATAATATCCGTCTTCTGGTGGTCTGGCAGCTTACGGGCCGTCTTCTCATTTAAGGCAGAGCCAGAATTCATACTGGACTACTCGGAAGCATCCAGTCTGAGGAGCAAACGCAAAGAAGATGTGGTATGCCGCTACCGATAGTTCGAGAAGCGACAACAATCTCCTTTGAAAGGTCGCCAAAACGACCTGCACTAGTACTCAGGGACACGATTACAGTTATACCAATTTTAGTGTTCAGTCCATCACCAAAGAGCGCGACCAAAGAGGGAGGTTTAGAAGCTGCGAGCCAAATTCTTCGTCCTAGAACCAGACATTTCGTATCCTGTACTGCGCAGAGATCGATTCTTTGTCTAGTGCTTCCGCCAGCTCGTATGAGCGCCCGTCACAACATTCAGCGTTGCCAAGCCTTGGAAACGTCAGACTCCCGGACAGGGTACAGCATCGTTGTGCCGAACCCATGAGGGGGGGGGTCAAAGATCGTGGAAAAAATGAAAATTATTATGAGTGTACAGGGGGCAGATTATGAGCGAAGTTTTTCGCAGCCCAGACAGGAAGTGGATATGAGTACCAGGGCGGAAGATACCCAAGATCTTCCTCTATAAGCAGGAGCCGGCTGCCGCCATTCACCTTCATGTACACCAAAATATGAAGTCATCTCCAGTCGCGCGCCTGAGTGGAGAACGCTTTTGATTCACTTGGCCACAAACAGCTGCGGACCTTCTGATGGAGCTTCAAACCATGGCATAGCTACCTGGAGACCAGTACTCTTGATCTGCAAGACCTCAAACATCGAGCAGCTCCGGCAACGTCGCTACGGTCCAGGACATCATCTTCACCCCATTCACCAAGGCGCGGGTTGATGGTGTGGACCGGCCGTACCTGGAATGGATGAACCGATTTTCTTCTCGTGGCGGCCCCCAGGACTGAGGGTGTGCGCTGGTGGCTACATCGAGCAACTCGAGGAGAATATCCCATCTATGTCGTCGCCCGTACCTTCTTGGAAACTTTGTACTGCTACAGGATTGGGTGACAACACATTTAATCGAAGGGCGTTGGAAAAACTTTCGCCTACTTGGAATGGAAGAACGTTGAGTACCTGGAAAATATGGAGTATTCAAGCGGGGGTCCTGAACTAAACCCCCTCAATTACTCGGTTCGGGCGGAGCTCAACAGGGTGGTCTACAGTGGCGGAGAAATCAACGATCTCGCTCAACTCCGGTACCCACTCACTTTCGCGCGGCCGAATCTCTCGATGGCGCTCCTCCAGAAGGCTGTGGCGGAGTATTTATAGTATTTAATGTGCTCTTTAATATGGTAGTAAAAATGTCCGATAAATTTAATAAAGTGTAACTTATAGCGCCTTGAAAGTCATGGAGGCAAAATGACTTTTTTGCCCCCCCCCCTGTATTTGTCGTGAGACATTTCCATTCGATACAAGTATGGTCCTATCCTAGTATCCTGTGGAGACAGAGTCATAGCCGCAACTGCCCTGAAAGTGCAATGTCCCTCAAAAGCGCAGCTGCCGCACCTTTTGAATGGAGTACGCAGCCAAGGACTCCCATCTCTGAGATATGAAGAACATGCAAAAAATTGTTGGAAAGAAAGTGTGGTCCACAATGGACAACTCTGTGCTAAATTCGCGGCAGAAACTTATAAGATAAAGGAGTTGGGGCAAAGTTGCTCCAGTGACACCTCCTTTTTGCAGTATCTCCTCCCCTCAACTCGGCCTTCAAATTTTGCCTCCAAGTGGAAAGCGGTGAACAACAATCATTACAATACCGCTCATAATTCGTGGTCAATCGACGGTTTGCGACAAATTTTTCCGTCGCAAACGGTCGTTACCATAACTTCTGTAGAAATGGTCCAAATGAGATGAGAGTAAGACCAGTGGATAGCCCTGATTGCGGCGAATCCAACGACCTATGGAACTTTCATTCTTCTCTATGGCCTCATTCTTGAGGGAATTCAAGATTGAGTCTCAAAGTACCCGAGGTGGTACCTGCGGACATCACACCGTCGTAATCCTCCACTTCAGCTACGAGTTCCAAATGAAGCGTTCAAACGCTGATTATGATGACAGATTCGAGACGAGCATGATTCTGCGATCATTTTAATACTAGATTCTGCAGGGTTTCCGCGAAGTTCAGCTAGAAATTCGAGTTCAGGTGGTTTTTTATCCAGTGTTTCGCGGCCCCCTCTCAACGGAAAACATTCTTCTCCGAGCTCAAAGAGATAAAAGGCGATCCTCTATCACGAAACGAAGAAATTTTGGAAGGTGGGTAGTCTGAGCGTTGCTCATTTACTTACTTTGAAACACAGTTGGGATCGTTGCACGAAACTTTGTAATTCTCCGTTTGTGGTCTGCTATGCAGCGACATGCAAAAGCTGGCCGCATGCATATCACCAAACGTCATAAAAACAGTCTGTTTATTTTTAAAACTCCTTGAGTTACATTGAAATTGCCTTTTCAGCGGGATCGAAAAAAGAACTCATAAACACTGAAAGTGGAACGGTTCTCAAAAAGAGCACTTTGTTAACCATAGGTCATGGTTGAATACATGATGAGTAACTCTTTCTTTTAATCGGTGATCTCTTTTTGTCGCACCTCGTTAACATGTTCGCTGACCATCGAGCCCCTGCTAATTGACCCCTCGCCATCGATCTCTATTGGCTCATTGCCTCTGCCGTGGCCATGTATCCGCGTTGACACAACTCACATATCATCGAACAGCACGATGTGACATCATTTACTTTTTTTATAGATACCAGGACACTCATTTCCCGTAGAATTTTTCATTCACACATACGTTCTGCGGTGTTTCTGTAATGGAAGCTCACGTAAATCAAGCCCATTATTCACCTGTCATGTGACGAAAGCGGAGCATAGCTGAAAGCATGTATGTGACTTTTGCAAATGGTCCTCAGATAGAGAGATTCGAACTTTCCTCATCAGAGTTTGAAGCGCGAGCACTACCACTCGCCAAGCCATTTGTTGTGCGCGTGCTCACGCATGACTTATTGGTGATGAAGGCTTGGGGTTCACTGCCCGCGGTCCACACAAGGTGGCTGAATGCTTAATCGATTGTTACATGCCAAGACAAGTTTTTTCATGGGTGTCGTCAATATCACAAATCCCGTATCGATCGAAACGCCTCGTATTGATTACTCCGAGTACTCGATAGTGTATTGAACAGAACATAGCACATTCACAAGTTTATTCACAGTCGCAATCTTGTTATAACGAGTATATGCTACAACAACAATTTTTACCAGAAATGTTGAAATGGATTTAATCATATAAATCTAAACGGCAGAACGTATCGTCTTCTTGTGACTGTGAGCCCTGAGAAGAATTCTGTCCATCTCCTATAGTTTTTCTAAGCCTCCTAACGCGACTATTAAGCGTTTCCTCGATTTTCCTCCAAACGTCGTCCCGTTCGTTCGGGAATGTCGTAATACTTGTGAACGCACTAGAACGACACAATCTTTCAACAAATATCTGAACCTGCCATAGTTCATTTTACCTGTTGAATAGAAGAGAACTCTCTCTTTCTCACTACGGTCATCTACGAGTAACTCCATTTCCTTGGGGTCGTCGCTGAGGACCATTTTTTCTAGGGCCAGCGCGAAATGGTTTCTATTCTGCCCTTTTAGTTCTCGCAACTCGGCCACGGCCCTCGCACTAACATATGCATAAACGATGTTCCCTGAACGAATACACAACTGGAGGTTATCAGCACCCTAAACGGACAGTCAAGGAGAACAAGAGGTTGTGGGCACTGGCAAAATTTTTCCTTATGAATACACAACTTGCAAGCAAACCTTGACTCTGTTTGGCCGGGTTTCGCCTCAAAAGCTCTTTGCCGATTTGCTCGATGCGCTCCAGTCTGTGGGTGTGCGATGCGAGCAAGGAGTTCCTGAAGTGCATTGATTTCAACGGACAATGGTGATTAACCCTCAACCACGTTCAGAGAGCATACTTTGTTAACCCCACTTATCTTTGAACAATAATGTCTTACATTTGTCTAATGTCTTACATTTGGACCATCATGTTTTTCATTAAGGAATTATCTTCTTCGACTCGTATCAGCCTCGTCATGATCTCTCGCTCCTTTGCAGAGGGGCCCGGATCAGCTGAATCTGTAGTAGCACCGTCGTCATGTTGACCCACATCCTGTGCAGGAGGCGAGATGTCGAAAACATCGTTGACAATCTCGCCGTCTGCGGTCACAGCAGATGACTTCATTTCACATATCTCTTTTGGCCCCGTGAACAGTACCTGCAGGTCACTATAAGCGTAGCAGGCTGAAATTAGGGACAAAATGTTACTCGAGTGAGTGGGAAACAGTACCTTTCCCTTATAACATCTTCCATTCCAGCGGATCCTCACTGTGTCCAACATCCGTCCCATGAGGTACCGATGAGGCCGGTACGATTTCAAAAATGGTAAATTCTAGGATTATGCGAGATGTACTTTACATGCGGCACAGTAGTGAGTGTCGTGCCGGGGGTGGCCTCCTGTTCCCCTCACACCTGGCCTCTGCCAGGTGACCAGCCCTCTGACGTCGCATCGGTGCCTGGAGGGGAAAGGATCCGCCCTCGGCGCGAGGGTTGCAGGGGACTTACGAGCGCTTGCCCATGCTCGCCACGGTGTTGCCACGCGGGGTAATGTTGCTAACCGCAACCGGTAGGCCCTTACTGCCCCTACGTTATGCGCGCACTACGGACATGTACCCACTACCCTCCTACCTACACCCTGTCCTCACACTCTACCTAAGAACATCTGCTTTCACGGCTGATCAGGCCGTACACGTCATTAACTTCCTACTGGGGCCAACGACCAACGCATTATAAACTATACTATGAGC